AAACTTACAAGCCAGCCATCCCCATTTTTGATAGCCAATGTCTAAGTTGCCCGTTCCTATCAACCCAGTGCACTGAGGAGGCAAGCTTGATCCTTGATATAAGAATCCTTCCCTTTTGGTTGGAATTTTGAGTAACTACATCCATAAGCAAAGGTCTAGAGTTCACAAAATGGTAGCAATTTATGGTTGCTCCCCATATCAAACTTCTTTATCTTCATCTGGTCAAGTTCTAGTCAGCTAGCCATCCAAGCTAGGCCAAATGTGTACTATCTGCAAGTTTGGGGGTTCTCGCCTGCCTCTTCCCACTTCAGACCAGCTGGCCACTTCACTCTTAACTGTAGCCTCCAGTGGCTAGGTGAGTGTCCATAGGCTTGGGACCTCACATGCCTCCTTGAACTTCAAACCAGCCAGTGACAGGGAGGTTTTAGTAATGTTAAAAGCACAAGGGAAAGGGTGGAGTTCTGATGGCTTACTCCCAGGTTGCTGCAGAGTTTTTCTGTAAAATTGCTCAAACATCCCTACTCGTTTGAGCATTGAAGATCAAGGGAGATGGGATGGGACAGACTGTACTTTTTGTCTACCAACAACTGTCTTATGCCACCCATTTTTTGAAATAATGGAATTCCCTTACCTTATTGTTGTTAGGTACCATTGAGTTGGTTTATATTCCTAGTGACCCCATGTACAACAAAACAATATACTTCCCAGTCCTGTGTGAGCCTCACAATTTTTCTTAACCTTGAACCCATTGTTCCAGCCACTGTATCAGTTTATCTCATTGAGGGTCTTCCTCTTTTTTGATGACCCTCTACTTGACCAAGCATGATGTCCTCCCCCAGAGACTTGTACTTCCTGACAACAGGTCCAAAGTGTTACTTACATCTGCTTAGTTCAAACAGACCTCTCAAATCTTCTTCCCAGAATAAAGGAGACTTGAGGTTTTAATTTCTAGAAGTGGAGACAGTTGACAACTTTGAAATGGCAGCTTCTTTGGCTGCATAAAGATCCTACAACTATTGTTGAGATGGTGGAAAAACGTCCTTGAGTCGGTCATTGTACTTTCTCATGTTCCACTATTTCTGTGCTTCACACATTGATCTCTGTGTACACATCCTCTCCTCTCCCCCATCAGCAGTGCTGAGACTTGGACTTCCTAAAGGACACAACATAGCTATATATGGACCCACCCAGCCTGGTACATGGATGACGCTCCAACTTGTTGTAATTACCCTTGACGAACAAACAAACGTTTCCAAATTTTATTTATAAAGCCATTGTATGGGATGTGTACTACTCAGCTTTTGTGCTTGTTAATCAACAACCCCTCCAAATCAGGGGCTTATAACAGCAAACATGGCTTCCTTGCCCCTGTTACAAGTGGATGAACTGCGGTTGCATCCCTGGCTCTGCAATCCATGTGTGTCTTCTCACTCACTGGGCTCCCACTCTAGTCCCTTGAAGGTGCAAAAGGCTTGTGCTCAGCTGCTAACCTAAAAGTGAGCAGTTGAATTAATCTAGTAGTGTTGTGCAAGAAAGGCCTGGTGATCTGCTCTATAGCAAAGAAAGCCCCATAAAGCAGTTCTACTGTGTAACTCATAGGCATCAATTCTTCTATGATCTTCCTTATTCACTGTCCAGCTTTCACATCCTTATGAGGCTATTGAAAATACCATGGCTTGGGTCAGGTGCACCTTAGTCCTCAAGCTGACATCTCTGCTCTTCAATACTTTAAAAAAAGTTCCTGTACTGAAAGTGCCATGGACTGCCAAGAGAACCAATAAATCTGTTTTGGAAGAAGTGCAGCCAGAGTGCTCCTTGGAGGCTAAGATGACTAAGCTTCATCTCTCATACTTTGGACATATTGTCCGGAGGGAACAGTCGCTGGAGAAGGATGTCATGCTGGGTAAGGTGGAGGGTTGGAGAAAAAGGGGAAGACCCCTAACGAGATGGATTGGCTAGGCGGCATCATTGATGGATTCAAGTGTGGCGGTGGTAGTGAGGTTGGCCCAGGATCACACATTGTTTCATTCTGCTGTGCATGGGGTCACTATGACTTGGTTCCGACTCGATGGCACCTGACAACAACAACAACTCTGTAACTCATAGGGGGTCACCAGGAGTCAAACTGACTACACAGCAATAGTGTGTGTGTGTGTGTGCATGCATGCATGAGTATGTGCTGGGGAGGATGTTCAGTCTTTAGCTGCACTGCAAGTCACATGGCAAAGGGGGGGTGATGTGTGCACTTGGGCAGGGGAAGGAGGACAAGTTGTGAATGATAAGGAGTTTATCACAGAGGGCAGTTTTATCAAAACAGACAGCTTTAAAACAATATAATTAGAGCATTGATTTATTTTCTCAATCACAGTTTTTAAAACAATATTTATATTTCATCAAAACAAAATTTGCTATATTCATTAAGATAATACACAGGTCCTTCCAGTTCTGCAACCACTTCTAGTCACATGGCAAGAAAGTAGAACCATAATAACTTCTAGCTCCCAAGTTGCTTGCATCAGTTCTGGAACACACGGCTAACTTGTACGTGCGTTCTGCACTTGGCGCCACTTAGAACAAGCTGCTCGGGTTCCTCTCTCTTATAAAGAGGACTCAAATGTTTTCATTCAGGAGCTCCCACTGGTCCAACCCGGGACACTCTGAACATCACTAAGGACAACTGCAGGACAATGAAGCTCTCAAATAGGTTTAAGTTTGTGGCTTCATAATAAAAAACCCAAATCAAATCCACTGTCACTGAGTCAACTCTGACTCACAGAATCCTTGCAGGGCAGAGTGGAGCTGTTCTATAGGGTTTCCAAGACTAAAAGTCTGTATGGAAACAGACTGCCACATCTTTCTCCCATGGAGTGACTAGTGGGCTTGAACCTCTATATTTAGGTTAGCAGCTGAGTATTTAGGTTTGGGGCAGCAAGTTTATGAGAAGGAAAAACCAGTTGATGTGATGGTTGTGGAATGTGTGCTAACATCCAAATGACCTTAGGATGCCACATCTCCAGAAGCTAATCAGCCCACAGATCACAGGTAAAACAGGCTCCCTGTAGAGAGCTACATTGTGGCTTCCAAAAGGTCATAAAAAAGTGGAATTGAAAGATAATGGAATTTTTTTCCCCCATGAACTTTTTGAAGCCTCCTCCTATTTATATAATTGATCCCTGGTAGTGTAATGAGCTGGGCTGCTAACAGCAAGGTCAGCAGTTCAAATCTTTCGGCCACTTTTAGGGAGAAGATTTTTTTAGAACAGAAGGTTTTCTGCTTCTGTTAAGATTCATAGCCTTGGACACCCTAACCAGCATCGCTCTGAGTCAGAACCGACTCAACAGGACACAACCACTACCACCATGTTTATGTCAAACCAGCCGCCCCAGACATGCCATAGGCTCCCAACTTTGAAAGCCAGCCAGACTTTTCTTTCTGATTAAACCATATTTTCAGGCATAATACTCTTCAAAATTAGACTTTACTACATTTGCAAATTGCAGTGATCAACTTTAATTTTGTTTTTACTGTTTCAGAGAAAGTATAACTTTTTGTTGTTGTTTATTTTTATTTCTTTTACTTGAATTCTAAGCCTGTATCTAAAAATGAGGTGGTGGAAGATAGCTTAAAAAACATTTGTTTTTCAAATGCATTTTCCTCATCTAAGCCATCCCCTCCCTCTACCCCATCCTACTTGGAAGTGTGATTAGTAAACCATTTCCAAAGAAGAAGCCTTCTGCTAGGTGCATCTTCAGGCAGCTTCTTGGTCCTGAGGCCATACTCCTCCAAGCCCCACAGATTGATTCCCCTCTCCCTGGTCCACCAAAGGATTCTTGTCTTTGGTTTTCTTCATGTTCTCCCCCAGTACTCATTTCCTGCCTGGGCTTTGGCCAAGAGTTAAATATGATAAAGGCTGTGATGAAGTAAACAGGAGGCAGGGAACAGCAAGAATGAAACAAGTATGGTCCAACATCACCAGGCTTTTACACTTGCTGCTCTCTCTTCGTACCTGACTAAAATCACTCGCACACTGCCCTGTCCTCTTGCTATGACCCTCTGCTTCTGATGCAGGGATTCATTCATTCTCCTGTACTCCTTTTACATGCACTTCTTCCCCTTTGCCTGGAAGGACCAACAAGGTGTTTGTTTGTTTTGTTTGTCAGCTGATCAGAGATTCTGAAATGTGTTATAAACAATTTTACATAAATTATTCTATAAGGAGTAAGGCCTACAATCCATGTGAATGATGGGACAAGGCATTTAATAGATTTTAAGTGTGGGGTGTGTGGTTGCCATAAAACCAGTAAACCAAAGTAGTAGTCACTGAGTTGATTTCCAGTTCATGGTTGTCATAAATGAATCATAGGAAAACAAAATTTATCCTGTACTCACAAACAAGAAGATTATCAGAACCAACCAAAATGCCCATAAAGATACTGTCATTCCCAAACTCTCTATGACTTGGTGAAGCCTCCTAAGTTAACAAAGATGGGAGATGGGGTTGAGGGTCAGCACTGCTTCCTGGTTGTGTGAGTAAAGCCTGGACTTTCCTTCCTATTCCCCAAGGCTTAGCCGAGCTCACACCCATTGCCTGCCTTCTCACACTCAACCCTGACCCCATTCACCCTCATTCCCATTCACACCGAGACTCTTTCTTCCTCCTCCTCTCCTCTAGCTAGGTCCTTGAGTACAAGAGACGGAATGGTAAAATGGTGTAGACTGGCAGAAACACAGGGAATGCAGCATCATTTAGGACCTGAGGTGAGTTTGCTGGAGTCAAAGTCCCTACCTGTAGTTGTCATCTGAGCATATGTAGACAGATATACCTGGTGTAAGATAAGGCTGTTTTGGGATACCCAACCCAGAGATTCCTGGGCACCAGCTTCACAGGTCTTTGTTTTTCAACAAACCCTTGAAGATTATTATTATATACAGATTATTGTCTCCCACCCCCCACCCCCTGCTTTCTCCTTTTGAAAGTAACAAGCAAATGGCTTCTCAGTTTATAAACCAGCCGAGAATTCCTGCTCCCCAGTGGATGGGGTGTACGTCGAACTCACTCGATCTGCTGTTTCCCCATAGAACACTGGACATTGTTTGCAGAGGCGTTTGGCGATATGCTTTCGGAAGAAGTTGGAGATATACCTTCTGAACTTCTCCCCGACGAAGGCGTAGATGATGGGGTTGATGCAACAGTGTGTCATTCCAAGTGTCTCTGCCACCTGCATGGCTTGCTCCAGCATGCTAGAGCTATGGCAATTATCCAGGCCAAAGAACTCCTGAAAGGTGGTTAAGTTAAGGACGATGGTGTGGGGGGCCCAGAAAAGAAAGTAGACAATCATGATGGCAAAGATGAGCCTCACGGCTTTGTGCTTCTTCTTCTCATTTCGACATCGACGCAGGGTTTTTAGGATTCCCGAGTAGCAGATGACCATGACAAACAGCGGCAGGACCAGGCTCAAGATGGTCCTCATTATTGTATGGAAATTCTTCCATTCTATTGGAAAATCAGAGCCACATAAAAAATTAGAATCTTCTATTTGGGATTTGGTAAAGATGATTCCAGGGAGAGAGGCAAGCACAGACACCATCCAGGTGACCCCACTTGTCATCACCCCAAAGCTGACCGTTCTGGCTTTTAGAGCAAACACAGCGTGGACGATCGCTAGGTATCTATCGATGGTCAGGAGGATGATGAAGAAGATTCCACCAAAATAACCAATGTGGTACATTCCAGTAAAGATTTTGCAGGCTGCATTCCCAAAGACCCAACCATTTGCAGCAGAGTGGGCCCAGAAGGGCATGGTGAGAAGGAAAAGCAGGTCAGAGATGGCCAGATTGAGCAGAAAGATGTCAGTCATGCTCTTGAGCTTTTTGCAGTTTATCAGGGTGAGGACGACCAGCATGTTGCCCACGACACCAAATATGAAGACCAGTGAGTAGAGCGGGGGCAGGAGCCGGGCTGCCATTTTCTTCACATCGATTTTATGGCAGGGCTCCGACCCACTGTAATCAAAATAATATGGCTGACTTGGCGTTGGATACTCCATCTTACTCAACCCTGTGAAGAAAAAAGTCAACTTTTATAAGGTCCTGGAAAACCCTAGAGAACAAAGGTCTACTCTGCACACATGGGGTCACCATGAGTCGGAATCAACTCAACAGTAACTGACGACAGAATTCTTCAGTGGTTTACCACAATCACACTCATAGCTGGTGATGGCTTCTTGTTTATCCTTGGTAATATTTTCTCTTCTTGTAAACAAAAACTAAGATGTGGACAGCATGTTGTGGATAGACTGTGGAAATGTTTCCTTGTCATTCATTTTCCTTTGTCCTAGACGCAGAGTGAAAGGATGGCCACACAACATAATTGCTGCAACTCCTGATCTTAGATGTATCCTTGCTCTACTCAACAACTCCCGAGTCTTTGTTCTTTCCTTTGTAGCCATGTGTGCTAGCCCAGTACACCAATTGTTAATGAGTCCACCCAGATAGATAATGGCCCCACGTGTGTCAGACTAGAATTGTGCTCCACAGGGTTTCCAGAGGCTGATTTTTCAGAGATTGCCAGACATTTCTTCTGAGGTGACTCTGGGTGGACTCGAACCTCCAACCTTTTTAGTTAGCAACCGAGCATGTAAATGGCTAGTACCATTTCCCTTTTATTCCTAGTAGCAGATACTAGTTGTCTACCCAACAGCTATTTTACAATACCCCTTTTCTTCCCCAGAAAACCCAGTGCTATTATGAGGTGAAAAATACTAGAGGTTTGTTTTTCCTTCCTTCTTTGCATGAGGTGAACAGTTAGGGGACCCATTTTTGGACATTGACATGTAAAGGAGGGTGTGCTAGGGACCTCTGGAAATGCACCTCTCTGGTAAAATAGAGCCTCCCCCACCTACTTGTCCACTTTAGGGGCTTGTCTTGCAAGGACTTGTAGCTTGGGGCCAAGAATGAAAAACCCAGAGAAATGCAGAGAAGCCAAGCAGAGCCCCAACTTCATCGAGTCCTGAACACACTCCCTTCCACGGTTCATCCCCTGACTTGCTGTTATTTGACAGAAATCATGCCATTTTTAAGTTACTTTGAGTTAAATTTTCTGTTACTTATGTTTGACAGCATTCCATGTGAAGTATCTAACCTACACCCCTTTAAAGCCCCTACATCTCTCATCCTGCCAAAAGTTCTTTTGCTTATGTTGCCAATTGCAATCCAGTTTTCAAATGCCCTGCTTTCTGACCAGTCTCATTCTAATGGATCTCTCTGCCAACTTCTTCCATTTCAAATATTTTTGGCTTCTAGGGGGCAGCTCCTATCTGAAAACTTATTATGGAAACTTTATTGCTGTTCTTACTGAACCCCCATCCCTGCTCATACCTTAAATGTCCCTAGGCACTATCCTTTCACCTCTTTATTGTTGCTACAAAGCTGCTTCTGAATCATATCACCCTCCATGTGCAGGCTTCTAACTCCCATGTATGCTAATGTTTTTCAAAGCTCTGTCTTCAAGTGTCACCTTTCTCCTAACCCCCACAACAGAATTTCCCATTGCCTACTGCATATCTCCCCATGCTGAGTTCATTTAGCTAGTATTTACTGAGCACCCACTATGAGCCATACTCTGTTCTGGGCACTGGAGGTACACAATGAACAAAGAAGGTGCCATTAGAAACTTCAGTCAACCCCTCCCAAACCACGCTCTTTTGAACCGGTTCCTACTTATAGATAAGATATTTCTTATCTTGCATATGTGTGATTGTCGTTTACTCTGTTTTCTGAGAAGAAGAGTGGGTGTTATCCTGGGTCTCCTCTGGGAACTTTGAAACCAATCAGATCTGGTGGATTCTAATTCCATCCCTGACTTACAAGCTATGTGATTTGGGGTTAATTACTTCTTTGTCTCAGTCTCTTTAACATAAAATAGTGACTTTCCTAAGTTGATTGCCTGAGATAAGAACTTAGCACAGGCCTACACAAAGAAACACTTGGTTATTATGTCACGTGAGTCCTACCTTAGAACTGCCTCTCAAATTCAGTCCCTCCATGCCTCCCTGCCCCTAACCTCTTTCATGGCCACTTCCTTTCCTCAGATCTCCTCACTTCTTGCTTTGCTGTGTGGTTTTGTGTTTGCTGGTTGCACTCTCTGTTCCCAGCCAAGCTTCCTTTTAAACTGTCTTTTCCAATATGGAAATTGGATCATGTACTTCTCAGCTCAAAACCTCTAGTAGTCCTGTAGTTGTATATGATGGGGCCTCAAAAGTAATGGCCCACTGCTCATCACACCCTTCCTAAGTTCGCTTCTTCACAGTTGCATCTTTATTCATTTCCCAAGTCTCAGATCCTGTGTCCAGATACAGCCCTCTACTCTCCATTGTCCCCCTCAAACAACCTTTTCTTCATGTGTCACTACTTTTGCATATTCTTGTCTCTCTCCTTAAAATGACTAGTGAAGCCCTATGCTGCTGTTGTTAGTTAAATCCTGTTGAGTCAGCTCTGACTCATTGTTGTTATTATGTGCCATTGAGTTGGTTCCGACCCATAGTGACCCTGTACAGGGTTTCTGAGACTGTAAATCTTTACTGGAGCAGAAAACCTCATCTTTCTCCCACAGAGTGGCAGGTAGTTTTGAACTGCTGACCTTAAGGTTTGCAACCTGATTCGAAACCACTACACTACCAGAGCTCCCTCATAGGGATCCTATAGCCACATCAAGTGAGCTGCCTACATATCCCTCAACATCCTCACTCAAATTCTCCTTCTCTGGGAAGATTTCTTTGCCTCCTCTATCAAATTATGCTTATCATCTCATACCACTCTGTGCCTGCCTCTAAATAAACACTTAGCACATTATCTTTTACACATGCGTGCTCCTTGAGGCCGAGGACTAACTCATGTTTTTAAAATCAGCTCTTATGGTATCATCTGGACAAATGAGATACCAATTCAATGAATAAATGCATACAACCCCCTATAATTTTAATAACTAAGGAGCCCTGGTAGTTTGGTGGATTATGTATTCGGCTGCAAGGTCAGCAGTACTAATCTACCAGTCATTCTGCAGGAGAAAGACAAGGCTTTCTGCTCCTATAAAGATGTACAGCCTTGGAAACCCTACACAGGGTTGCTATGAGTTGAAACTGACTCAACTCCATGCACACCACCACCACCCACCACCAAGAGACTTAACGTCATGAAATCCATTTCTAGAGAAAATGATTTTTATTTTTTCTGGTAGTGACTGAGTTTGTTTTTCTCCATCTGCTCATCTTATCCTTCAGTTCTCTTGTGATTGACACATTTCACAAGCCTTGTATTTCACATCACTGAGGCACATTCTTGAAATATGCAGTAACTGAAGAAGAAATAAGACCTCTGATCCAAGTCGAGTCCCCCCAAAAGAATTACAATCACAATCACTGACTGCTCTGCAAGCTCCAGGTGTGTGTGTGCTGCTTTGCACACCTTACAGCAGCATCGTGTGATAAGCATTTATCAGTCTTACAAATGAAGAAATTGAAGCATGACAGATTAAATAATGCTCCCAAACTCACAAAGCTAGTGACAGCTGAGCTGGAACGTGAACCTTAGTCTGTTTACTTCAAAGGTTCTCAAGGACATCCAGCTCTAGGTTCTGAGAGTAGAGGTGTCAGCAGAATAGTTCATGGACTTTATAAGTATTCATCCATGCCTGGAACACAATTTCTTTGGCACTTAGCCTTAAAATTTGTACATGGATCCACACAACTTCCTCTCCCACCCCCAACCAGCATGGGCCCATGCAAGCACACACACACATACACACACACACACACTGACATTGCCTCTAGAAAGTAAGCTCCATGAAGACAGGGGTCTCATTTTGCACTGAGACATGCCAATGCCCTCAAACGCAGCCCACCACATATCAAAACATCAAGCAAATGAGATGCTGACTCCTGGCGCGTCAGTGTATGTTAGAGTAAAACTGGCTCCATAGGAATTTTAGAGTTCTGGTGTGGTGGTGTAGGATAAAGTGCTAGACTGCAAGGTCAGTTTGAACCACAAGGCCGGTGGTTCAAACTCACCAGCCACTCCTCGAAAACCCTGTAATGGGTTGCTATGAGTCAGAACCAACTCAACAGCACTTAACAACAACAACATAAATTTTCCAGTGGCTGGTTTTTGGAAGTAGATCAGACCTTTCTTTTGAGGCTCCTCTGGATGGACTCAAACCTCCAACCTTTCAGTTAACTGTCTGTATCATCCAGGGACTCATGGCCAGCACATAGTAGCTGAATAAACAAATAACAAAATGAGTGGGCTGCAAGTTCCTGAAAAACCTAGGGCTGGGCGCCTGGGTGATTGGGTATGAGACTTTATAAGAGTGAGGATATTGATAATCCTGACACGTAGCTCCATTCCTGCAGCAAACCCTCTGGACTATTCTAATATTCCAAGAGTGTGGATATGATCGGTGGTTCTCAGATGCTGGGCAGCAGAATCACAGGGGAGATTTGTTGGGACCAGGCAGCGAGACCCTTGCTCTTGATTCAGATTGGGAGTTGGCTGGGAGGGGACATGGTGACCTTCCCCTCTGGGTTCTACCCTGTGTTGTTTGCATGCTGCCATCTCCAATACCAGTCGCTCAGTCACTATTTCCTCCATCTCTCCAGTGTATCTGGCTCCTGCCACAGTGGACACTCAGCATGGTGGTTGAAATGCACTTACCTAAGTGCTGTAGGATCAGCACTGGATTGCTAATCACAAGGTCAGCAGTTCAAACCCACCAGCTACTCCTCAGAAATCCTGTGGAGGGTGGCTATGAATTGGAAGCAACTAGATGGCACTTAACAACAACAGGAAGGTATCACTTCTGGGCATCAGAACACATTATCCAGAACTAACAAAAATCTGCCTCCATAAAAACTTCTCACTTCAGCCTCTGTGAACCTCCTGAGGCAAGACAAGAGGTTCATTTTGGTTTAGGGCATGGGCTGTCACATATATGGACTAGAAAGGGAAAAAAATTCAGAGTAGGAAGTTTCAGGTCTTTAAAGTCCTTGGGTGCTGGGTGGGGCAGCATGCGAGGGGCAGTGTTGAGAAGTGTGTTGTTCTTATCTTATTTTAGTGTCATCTCTCCCACCTCAAGAGTCTCAGGAGGGGTCTCACCCAGCCAGGCTCTGCAATTCCTGTCACTAGGGTCACTGCTAAAATCTCTTGGTGCCACTTCCACTCCATTCCCCCATCATGATGATCTTCCCAAAGTTCATGGGCTTTGTGGTCCCTCAAGATGTGCATAGTCCAGGTGTCCCCAGCTTTGAGATGCTCTGAGCTGATGATTCAT